ATAGTTGTTGTTCTGTCCCCTGCGTTACCTCCTACCTACTTGTCACTTTGGACTAGGTTGGTGTCTAGCATATTGGAGGCTTTCCTCCAGTGCCTGGTGATCCTTGAATGTCCTTATGTGTTAATAAGCACTAAAAAAAACGGATGGAAAGCTGCACCTGTGTAGGTGGGGTGTGTTGAATGGTGGGTTTCTATGAAAGCTAACTGGGCCAGTACCTAACGGACACCTACGCAGGGATGTTCTAGCTGCCAGTGTCCGTAGTTGGTTTAGCTTGGGCTGGTTTCCCTGGAGAGGAATCTTGGCCAAGGAGAGAGAGGCTGTGCAACCTCACTGTGGAATGTGTAGTTTGTTTACTGCCTCTGTTCTTAGCTTGAGCCTGGCCCTGGACAGTTTCCAAGTCCAAGATTTCCCTGGTGAAACGTCCAGCTTCTTACCCCTTTTGTGTTTATCCATGTGATTTTTATGTGCCTTTTTATTCTTTGCCCATGATTTATTGGGGCTTCAGAAGGAAGTAGCTGTAAAAGTGCACGTTCCACTGGCCACGTTAGCCAGAAGCCTGGAAGCCTTCCCTCCAGGGCACCCAGTTCAAAACTTAGCACACATTGGGTGCTCAATCAATGCATGTAGCTCTTATTAAACCCACACGGTTGATTTTAACAGAAGTAATGACCACCTAAGTCTTTTGTGATTGTTTTCTCCTGAGGGATTAAAAAATACCAAGTGTAGCGATAAGAATAGGAGGTTAGTAATCAGTGGCCCGTGGGAAAGAAATGTAACATACCTGGAAAAAAGACCTGCTCTCACTGAGAGTTTCCTTGTTTAGAGTCGCTCCTCTTAGAATACATCGCTGATCCTTCTGGAACTGTTTCCCCGTTATGCTCTTTCCAGGTGTTGGGGCTGGATGGCCCCAGGAATCACCAGGTTTCAGCTCATTTTACTGGTGAGGAAGCAGCCGGGGGCTCCACAGCTCAGGATGGAAAGCCTTAGGTGCCTATCTGGACAGAGGGTCGCCCAGTCTCCCTGACCTCGTAGGTATGAGAAGCCTGAGATGGACTCTCACGGAAGCCCGAGTCAGGCCCCGTGGTCCTCTGTTCTAGAACAATTGGCCTGGCTAGTAGAACACAGGTGTCCTCCAGTTCACAGTTCTGGGGTCTGTTCTGCCCATCTTAGTAAAACATAATAATAACATCAACATTCTAAGCCAGTACTTAGAGCACGTGGTTGTCGTCTTGATGCTTGAGTTCAGATCCTAGAGCCAGTACTCAGTGTTTATTCATTTAACTAGTCTTTACGGAGCTCCCACTGTGTGCCTTCCACACTGGGGGGCACGGCGGGGAACAACACAGGCATGGGCCAGCTGTGAAGGAACTCCTGTTCCTAGAGGGGGAGAGGCCAGCAAGAAGTACAGAAACGGTCAGACAGGGACTTTGTGACACTGACAAATGCTGTGTAGAAAATAAAAAAGGTGCCGAGGTGGGAAGTGGCTGAGGGGGTGGGGTGGGCAGTCCATGCAAAGACCCTGAGAAGGGCCAGGTTCAAGGTGATTTCAGAATAGCTGGGAAGCTGCCTGGCTGAGGTGGAGGATGGAGGTGGAAGCAGGTGGGAGGAGGGTTCGTCCTCCAGAACAGCAGCAGGTAATTTGCTCCCATCCTCACGTCCACCTAATGGGGGTTGTGTGTGTGTGAGAGGGAACCAGCTTTCAGTCACTTAAGGCCAGCAAGCGGGATTGGAGGGGGCACGCTGCTGCCCAGTTTCACCCCTGGAAGTGGGAACGGCCCCTCACTAATGGCCAGGAGGTGGCCCATGCCACAGCCCTAATTTGATCCCCCTTTGTCCGGAAGCTGCTGCCCCCCTTTTCCTGCAGCCTCCCCCCAGCCTGAGTCACCGGCCCCAGGAGGCCTGGGCGAGTGCGTCACTGTCACTGTGGGCTGCTCCTCAGGCCAGCAGCACCACCAGGAGATTAAACACATTCGCTTAGAAAAAGCAAAGAAATAACTTCTTTTGATAACCAGCATCTGTTAGTTAATGGGCCTCTGAGAGCTGTATACAATTTAAACTTTTTATTAAAAAAAAAAGCTCATTCACTCTCCTGGGAGCTTGCGCTGTGAAATTATAAACTGCACGGCTTTTTTCCCTTTTAAACGTGACTGAACATACAATGGAGAACATTAATTTTGTTTTGTTTTGTTTTGAACGAGAACTGTGGGTTTTACTTTCCCCTCTTTTGATTAAAGCTATCTCGGCTTTTGTGTGGAGGGGCCAGACTGACGACAGGGAGCAGAGGAAGGGGCCAGGAGGCAGGTCTGCGGGCCTCTCACCTGTCCCCGCGGCCCCCACACCGACTCCTCCTCGTTGCAGCCCAGACTCTGGAAAGCGGGGCCCGAGGTCCTTTCTCCAGCAGTGACATTTTCTATGGGCACCAGGTGCCTCAGAGCCAAGAAGCCCGGGAGGGGAGGGGTCTCGGTCCAGTCGGTGGGCCAGCAACCTTCCCTTCCCCAACACAGCCTCCTAGTTAGAGGTGGCTCCTGCGTCGTCCCACAGAGCTGCCCCGAACTGCTTTGCCCAAGTCCAGTTTAGGAGTCCGCCCCTGCCAGGGACCTGAGCTCCGGACAGCCGCCCCCAGATAAAGCTCAGCTCTCAGTCCCTGAGGTCCCACTGCTGGTGACCCCGGGCGAGCCCCCTCCCTGCTCTGAGCCATAAAACCCTCATGTGCACAAAGCGGAGCGACACCCCCCACCCACACCGTTGCCCCCACCTCGAGGGACGCTGTACCTGGTATGGCAGTGACCTCTTTACAGGTTTTGGGGCAAGGATTAACAGGGATCACTCAGCCACCTTTGCTGAGGTTCTGCCGTGTGCCTGCTGGAAAAGACGGCTGTGACTGACTCAGTCCTTCCCTTTTACATTCGTGTCAGAATAAATGTGGAGGAATCATTTCAGACAGTGATCAGGAAGCATCATAAAACATAAAGCGGAGTGATGGAGCAGATAGAAGGAAGCTGTTCTTTTGGTGTGCTTGATGGTGGGTGTCACCTGAGGAGGTGACATGTGGTCTGAGACTTGAATGAAAAGAGCCAAGCTTCTGAGGATCTGGGGGAAGAGACGTGAGTAAGAGGCAAGGTAGAGACGAGGGCCGTGCAAAGGCCCTGAGGCAGGACCAGCGTGCTGTGATCAAGAGAGAGAAGGCAGGCCAGTGCAGCCGGGGCCTGGGGAGGTTTGGCCAGACCTTGTAGACAGGTGAACAAGGAGCTGGGGTTTTATTCCGAGTGCCCTGGAGGCCCCTGCAGAGTTCTGAGCAGGGCAGGACCATTGCATGAACCGAAGGTGGATTACAGAGAGAGTCGGTGATTACCTGCACGGGTTTTATTCTTTTTCACACGTTCTCCGGAAGACACTTCACTTCTTTCTTTAGAACCATAATCCCCTCAGATGACTTTAATAACCAACAAGAACATTTTTCAGGCTGTTTAATTTTATTAAAAGATTCAAATTTGATGATAACTGAGGGCATGGTTGTCTCAAGCCTCAGATCTAAGACTTGCTCAGCCCTGGACACATTATTGCCACCCACCGTCATCCCCACCAGAGACCCCCCCCAACCCCGGCCCGGATTCAGTCTGAGACCGTAAATAATTATTTCTTGTACTTTGGTAAATATGCCAGGAACACACGTAGCTCTCTAAGACCTATAGAAAATATTAACTTGGTGGGTTGCTGGGATTTTTGGTGTTTTTTTTTTTTTAAGAAGAATGAGTGGATAAGTTAGAGCAATTTCAGCGGGCTGATTGAACCCCACACAATCTGACGGAGAACAAGGGCTTCCTTCTGAAAGCGTCATTAGCCTCACAGACAATTGTTGTTCAAGATCTGTGATGAGAGCCAGAGATAGGACTCAGGCGGAGAAAGGAGGGGCTTTGTACCACAGAGTGCCGGAAACCCTCGAGCCCACCAGGACGCCAGGTAATTTCACAATGCACAGATGAGGCCCTGGGAACACAGGCAGGGACCCTGGAGAGGCACAGCCCCACCCTGGCGACAGCCTCCTCTGAGCCCAGGAGGACATCGTGGCAGGAAGGCGGCCTCCTCCTCCAGGTGTTGCCATGGAGCCCGGTGACCCCGACCCCTCCCTAGGGTGGTCCCAAAGACACTTTTGGAGGTTTGTCTCCCTCCTTGTCAGTCAAACACAGGGAATCTTGAAAACAGGATGCCTGTGCAGGGCTAATTACTCAGCACGTTGGTGTTACTGCTATCATTAGTATTAATTACTTTCCAAAGGCTGGAAATACCGCTTTCCTCCGAAGATCTGCCCCCAGCAGCCAGCCCAGCGTGTGTGGTATTTGGTGGGGGCGAGGGATGCCACGCATCTCGGCTCAGACAGAGCCACTGCGTCAGTGCGCGGGCCCGCGAGGGCTGGATTCGTGCATGCAGTGTGGACAGCTTGAGGCCTGACTCGCAGAAGCATAGGCAGATGCCGGCAGTCAGAGCTCAAGAAAGCCAACCCGCCCCTGAGGAGACAAGCCCTCTGCCAGAGAGCTGAGGACTGAAAGCCTGGAGCAGCATCTGTAATTCATGGCTCTGGGTTGAGTGTACGAGCTGCTAAATTCGAATTAATGATCTTTAAACAGCCCGCAGACGCGCAGACGGGCGGCAGCGTCCCCAGGCAGAACCTTGGCCCCATCACACAAAACCCCAAGGGTGCAGGGAGGGAAGGGGTGCCGGTGAGCAGGACGCCCCAGTGCCGGTCCCCCAACTGCCCATGAAAACTAGGAGCGAGTGTGTGCAACTCAAAGCAGCTGACGTTGCCGCGATGACGTCCAGTCTTGTGGTCAGGACTCAGTTGCCGGCCGTGGTGTAGACCGAGTGAGTGTTGAGCTGCCAGGACTCAGGCTGAGCTGCCAGTGGCGGGGCCGCTGTCCATGACAGAGGAGAGGGAAAGAGCTGGCCATCCTCCTGGGCAAGTGGGGGAGTCTGTGCTGGGAGGGCATCCCTGGGGTCAGACCGTGTCCCGAGGAGCTGTCTAGACGTGGAAGGCCAATTTCATAGTCGCTCAAGGAAGGCCAGCCCGAGAACTAGGAGCAGAAAGGGGAGAGGGGCCCCTCGAGGACAGCGCCCCCCACCACTCAGGGGCTTCTGCAGCAGAGGCCTGTGCTGTGGAGGCCCGGAGAAGTCCCGGGTCACCCTGTCACAAAGCACCAGGGGCGCTTGGTAGGACGTGGGACGCTTCTCCGGGGTGTCCGGACTTGACCCGTCAGTGGGCCTTTGTCCGATGAAAAGCAGGCTTTGCCCGAGGGGGTCTTGCTCCATCTTGAAAAGCTCATATTCCACGTGGGGGAGCCTGATACCCAGTGGCAGGCACCCGTTGGTGGCCGTGACATCCCGCTCGGTTCCCACGGACCAGGCCCCCGGACCGCCGCAGCTGCTCGGCTCGGAGAAGTTGAGCATGGCCGTGGTGCCCTGGTCCATGGGCGTCACGCGGGCCCTCGTCACCTGGAACACCAGCTCGGTGCCGCCGAGGACCTTGGTGGACGGCGTGCCCCTGGTGTAGTGGCCGGCTGCGTAGATGGTGAAGGTGGGCTGCCGGCAGGCGGGGTCTGAGAAGTGGTGGTAGTAGCCCTCCCAGGAGCGGCTGTGCGCGTGGAAGGTGAACAGCCTTGTGAGGAAGAGCACGGCGGGGCGCACCTCGCACCCAGGGCTGACCCAGCGGCCGCCCAGGTGCATGGGCAGGGCCGCCTGGCTGGGCAGCACAGGCGGGTGGTGCTCGTCGGAGCGGACGATGAGGCCACAGGCTGGGCAGGGGCGAGCATGGTGCTGGCAGGAGACAAACAGAGGGGCGGCAACGTCAGGGTGCAGCCTGGAAGGGGGTGTCGTGGGGCTCTGCCCGTGGGCCGCCTGGCACTCGCCTTGCTCCCCGCCTCCGGCCCCCACGGCTGCCTTGCTCTCCTTGGGCTCCGCAAGCTCCTCTCCCCTCTGGGCCTCCGCAGCAGCTGTCCCTTCTCCCTGGAACTCCCCCTGGAACGTCGCCCGATGGGTGACACTTCCTGACCACCCCACATACGGCAGCCCTCAGACTCTTTCTAGCGCTCAGACACGTTTTCTGTTTCCCCTTCTGCCCACCCGTCCCCTTCATTAGACCATAAGCTCCAGAAAGCCGGACCGTCTCCGTAGCTGCTCTAGCCCCCGGGCCTGGCACAGCGCCTGCTTCACAGCGGGAACGCGTCTGCTAAATGATGAAGGAATGAATGGACGAATGAATGAGTGAGAAATGAATGGAGGCGCCGTCCGTTCTGGGATTTGAAAGAGCTGTCTTTCCCACACCCGGCCTGCTTGGTCCTGAAAGTTGGCCATTCAAGTTTATTATCATTTCCTTGCCCATTGTAACCCTCTCCACCCCCTCACTCTTTCGGGCGCTTCCTAAGGGCCAGGAAGCACTTCTCCGGCAACTGTTACATCTAAGAGCTGAAGGAGCTGAAACCGAGCGGGCCAGCGGGCCTGCCAGGGTTCCCTGGCCTGGGAGAGGCAGAGCCCAGCTGGACCCCTGCCCGTGCAACCCCCTCCCCCATTCTGTGAAGAAAGCCTCGCTCCGCTCAGAGCTGAGGTCTGCGGTCTCCACTACGGGGTGGAGAGGGAAGCATTTTATCTTCAGAAATTTCACCTTGAAAGGTGAGCATCATCCCTTCCACTCCCTTGGGAAGTGAATGTGACAACAAGGATGAAGAGCCGTGAAAATATCTCGCCCTTGGACCCCACTGCCTAGAGTCCGTGCTCAGGAGATGGCTGCAGTGTTGCTAAGAGATCCGGCACAAAGATGTCCACTCCAGTGTTATTTGTCAGAGGGGGAGCCGGCCACCCCGAGTTGTCATGTGCAGACACAGCCCTCAATGGCCGGGGCTCTGAATTGGTTTCCTTTCTCTTTGGTCTTCTTTATATCGGGTTGTCGGAAAAGTCATGACGCATTTTTGCGACGAAAAACATAGAAAACATACGTCATGACTTATCCGACAACCCAATAGTTGTCCCTGCCTGATAAAAGTCTCATGAACTGGGTTTACAGTAAAACGTGTCAACAGGAAACAGCTGCTAAACCAAATCGTGTGGGAGTCGTCAGTCTGCGCTCCGGAGTGAGAAAGCTCAGTAGAGGCCAAAAAGGAACCAGATACAGACCTATCTTGGTTTTGGTTTTTTTTAAAGGGAGCTGCTGCCCAGAATTTAGTCCAGAGCATCATTCTGAAAGGTGAATGTCCTTGGAACAGACACTTGTCAGAGCAAGGCTGACGTGGGAACTAGCAGCCTCCCGCTTTTGCCGTTCCAGAAGGAAGCTTGGGGGTGGGGAGGGCTGGGGGGTGCACGCAGGGCAGGCCACGGGAAGGGGCATCTTGAGGACTCAGCCGGGAAATCAGCGCCTATGTTTTTTCTCACAAAAAAACAAAAGATTTCCAGATTGCTTCTGGATGACTCCCATGCCAAAGAGTGGTGTTTGGGAGTCCTGGTTTAGCCACATCGGATGATGGAGAATTTTTTTTTTTTTAAAGATTTTGTTGGGGAAGGGAAACAGTGTGTTTTTCCAGGACCCATCAGCTCCAAGTCAAGTTGTTGTCCTTCAGTCTTGTTGTGGAGGGCGCACCTCAGCTCCAAGACCAGTCGCCGTTTTCAATCTAGTTGCGGGGGGCGCAGCCCACCATCCCATGCAGGAATCGAACTGGCAACCTTGTTGTTCAGAGCACACACGCTCACCAACTGAGCCATCCGGCCACCCTGAGAAATTTTTTTTTTCTTTTTCAGATTGCCACATTATAAGTGTTTATTATTTATTTTTATGATGAACCTGAACTTGCCTTGATTTCCATAATACAGGAACGTATATTATTTTTGGTTTGGGGTATTTCGACCCAGAGGACTCGAAGGCACTTTGTACCTTCGAGTAAATGGCAGCAGAAATGTTTGTGATGGGAAGACGCGAGCAGGCTGGGTAGTTAGCTGGAGTGCCGGTCATCAGGATGCTGGCTGGTACGGACCTCCTCTAACTTAGGCATTTTAACCCATATTCTGGCTTTTGTCACTGTCACGCGTAATGAAGGACGTAATGCATTACATCAAAATAACCCCAGGGCTGCCCATCCCCCCAAAACAGAGATGTCTCCTGAGGACGGGACACTGGGGATGTTAGTTGGTAATTTGGGGCAAGTGGTCTTCTGCATAGCAGAAACAAATTGAGAACTAGTGCGCTTTGGAGGTGAGAGAAGCGGGGAGAAAACGTATTTCCTTCTGGGAGGCTTCTGAAGGGGATGAAAGAAGGCCCCTTCTCTATCAGAAGAAGGCGTCGTTCTGCCCAGGTCCAGAGTTGCTCGTGTTAATAAGCAAGCCCCAGCCAGCAGAGGTCTCGCTTGTGCGGGAGCCGTACTCTTCCTAGTTTAAGGCTGTTACATCAAGTTATTTCTCGAACATCCCAAAACAGTTTCTAATTAACCCCCAGAGGTGATACCAGGCTTAGATGATTTTGGTCAAGTGCTGGCTGGCGGATTGATTAGTATTCTCTATCCAGGCAATGAACTTGGGGATCAAATTTGTTTTAAATGAACTTCTAAAACATGCTCATGTGTACCATCTGGTTTGGGTCATGGGCAAGACTTGGGCCCCGAGAGCATAAGGTAATGATGAATTTGTTACTTGGGGGTTTGCGATGCAGTGTTTCCTTCTTTGAAATTATCTTCCTTTTTTCTTCTTTCCGGAGAGAGGGCTTTTCATTGAATGTCGGTCCATCTGGCCCTGCTCGCCTGTGCACTCAGCCCTGTGTGATGTGCTTCTCAATCTCATGGCAGGTGACATGGGCCCCCCTGGCGGGTCAGGCGGCAGGAGTCCGAGGCCCAGAGCCTGGGGAGACATGAGCATGTCATCCTGGGTGCCATGGGGCCCGTGTTCCCTCCTAACAAGATGGTGGGCTCTGGTCCTCACCTCACCGCCAGCGCCTTCTCCTCTCATAGCAGGAGCGATGTCAGACCAGGCTAGAACATTGGCTGCCCCAAAGAGAATACTTCCGAGGTCCCAAAAGGAGCTCCGGTTGATTCTGTGATTATGAGAGCTTCTTGTTGTGTTTCTTCTCTGCTCCCCAGGTCCCATGTTGCCAGGAGGGTGGGCTCATCCTCACTCCCCCGCTTTGGGGTGCTTTGACAAGCGGCTGCTCCCGGGGTGACAAGTTGCTGGTTTAGTTCCTTGAGTGTCTAGTACACAGTAGGCACTCCATACATGCTGAACGATGGGACAGTTGCCTAAGGGCTCAAAGAGCACTTGATAGGGACTCCTGAACTCATCAATTCTTTCATTCTCACTTTTGAAGAATATTCTTTGGGTGCCAAGTACAGACATTCTTAACCTGGAGCCCTAACCTTGACTTCCTTTTTAGTAACCCCCTAAGGCTTCTTCTCATGGTGAATGTACCCCTGTAGCTCTAGGGGAACCTTTGACTTTGTTGCCGATCTCATATTAACAATGTTGCCGATATCGGAAACTTGATGCTCATCCCTACTTTGAAATTCAGGGACAATAAACAATTCATATGCATAATATTCCTATGTTACAAATTCATGCTTTAAGACTTGAATAACTACTTGAATAGACATTAGCATTTCTGTTTAAATCCGATGTCTTTTATTTTACACTTTTACGAACACTTTCCTGAGACGGGGCCCTTACTCTTCACCAGACACGCAGGGGAGGGTGTGAGACTCCACCCCATGCTGGCCAGGCTCTCTGCTGTGTGCCCGAGCTCAGCCTACAGAGGAAGCCCGTTCCTTTCTGCCTGTGTGCTCATTGGGCAAGAAAGCGCTGCTAGATCTGCCCCAGATCGGGACAGAACGTTTGTGATGGCTTCATTTAAAATCTGTGTTAATTGGGTTAAGTGAAATTCACTTTGGAGTCCAGGGGATGCATAGCAGAGGACAGCTCCCTTTAGGCTGCGGCTTCCTCCATGGACCATTTGGGACCTTGTCAGGAATGCACAATCCCAGGCCCCACCACAGACCCGTGGGACCCAGCTCTGCGTTCTGACAGGATGCCCAGGTGATGCATCTTGAGAACAGTCAGAATCTGAGCAGCAGTGCACTACCTGCCATTAGTACGAAGGGGCACGCCCAGTGCCTCTGGCTCCAGGTCAGCAATGAGGGGTGCGCCCCACATGGAGCTTTGGAGGGGGGCCTCCCTAGGGCTGTGTGGCCGCCCAGCAGGGCCCTGGAGGAAGGCTGCCCTCTCCCCGGCTCACTCATCAACATTTATCAGCCCCGACCATGTGCCAGCCCCTGGGCTAGGTGTGGGCACACAGAGGGGAGTAAACAAGAAAACAAACAATATAACCCAGGGTGTGCTGAGTGTGGGTTGGGGGGGGAGGGGGCACTGGAGCTGAGGACTGAGGGAGGGGCAACCTGCTCAGGTCCACATGCCCAGCAGGGACAGAAAGGGACCCTGAGGGACTCACAAGGAGAATGTCAGGAGGATTAGACCTGAGAAGGCTGAACAGCGGCTGCTTCTGGGAAAAGCCAGCCCTGTAAAGACCTGAGAAAAGATGGCTCAAGCTGAAGGAACAGCATGTGCCAGTGTCCTGTGGCCAGCAGACCAGAGTAGGGGAGCCGAGAGGGCCCTAGGCAGGGAGCAGATCACCTAGGCTGGGCCAGGGCTCAGAGTTCGTCGTCGTGTCCCCCGCCCCCTCCACACAAACACACACACACACACCTCCCCTGGGGCCCCACACTCACCAGGGCGCTCTGCAGCGGGCGCTGGTAGCCGGTGGGCCGGTAGTGCCGCCTCTCTGCCCGGTCAGTGTGGATGTCTCCCAGGTACAGCTCCTCCACCAGCCGGGGCCTGGCCGGGGGCTGCGGCTGCAGGTGGCGCTGCACGCGGACCAGGCTGAGCTCGTGCATGGTGAAGCCCAGGGCCGCTGTGCAGTCCCGCTCGGCCCGGGCGCTCAGCAGCTCATACAGCGCCCCGGGCAGCCAGGCCCGGGCGGGGGGCAGTCGCTGGACGCAGGCCCGGCCGGCCTGGGTCCGGTTGAGGCGCCTGGCGACATCGACCAGGGCACGGCGACTGTGGAAGACGACGCCCACCTTGTGCAGGTGGTAGTCAGCCTCGGTGGCACCCCGGGTGACCCAGGAGGCCCGGCGCAGGCGGACCTTGCCCTTGATGAGCAGGGAGTGGGCGGGCTCCCGGCAGAGGGGGTCCGCGTAGTAGAACTGGAAGGCTCGGAACAGGCGGTTGGGGAAGAAGGTGTAGGAGCGGGTGAGGAACTCGGGGCCTGGGCGCACCTCGCAGCTGTCGGGTGGGAGACACAGGCAGGGACAGCCTGCGCGTGAGCCCCGCTCCTGGGGGCTGGGCTCCCACTCCTACAGCCCCCAGTGCAGCCCGAGCTCAGGGCTGGGCCCCTATGTCCTCAGTTTCCCCGACGGATCTCAGCCCCACTTTGGGGGCCGGGGGCCTTCCACTCAATGCCCTGTGGCCTCCTCACAAGCCTTCTAGCTCCCTCCTTCAGCCGACGCCCTCCCTGGAGGGCACTGTGGTCCATGGAATCGCACACTTCGCAGCCACAGGACCTGGGTTCCGCCCCGTTTCTGTCCCTCCCCAGGAATACGGGCCTGGAGGAAGTTCCCAGCTCTTGCCTCTGGGACACGGAGATGTCAGGCCCGCAGTCAGGGTTTCCAGGATGCGCCCAGCACAGCGGCAGGGCCTGGGAGGTGCTTAGGAAAGCGGCTCCCTTGCCCCACTCGGGGGCCCTGTGCCCTGAGCTCCAGAGGCAGGGTCCTGCCCGTTCTCTCCTTGTTGGATTGTTGGCACCTGGACCAGAGCCCAAGACACTGGACCCTCCCTGGGTCCTGGCTGAGTGACCGTGAATGACCATGGATGATGGGCACTCACGTCCTGTGTCCCCTTTGCGAGGCTGACTTCCCTGACCAAGTTCACCCACATCTGTGACAGGCTTGTGGATCTAAACTCGGGGCCAGCGGGCTGTCTGGAAAGCGTCAGATCGTAAATATTTTTGCTTTTGTGGGCCGGGTGGTCTCTGTTGCAACAACAGGTTGTAGTTGTAGAGCTAAAGCACCCAGAGGCCATCTGCAAAATGGTGGACGTGGCTGTGTGCCAATAAAACTTCATTTACAGAAACAGGGGTGCGCTGGCCCCAGTCCCCAGGCCCTATTCTGCTGGTGATGAAAATGAGGGTGTGCTTGGGCACTAAGAAAAGCTGATGGACTCCGAGAGCCACTGTCACACCTGGGCTTGAGGCAGGCGAGCCTCTGGGACTCACCCACTGAGGGCTCAGACGGGGTGCATGGTGGACAAATTCTGGGAGAAAGACCCCTCCACAGTGTTACTGGCCAGGTGCCACCTGTACTGTTACCTTCTCCAGGTGTTTCATACCAGGGCTGCTGGAGCAGAGGAAACCCACTCTCACCCAGCACGAGAACGACCTCCTTTCTTAATTCTTGCAATCTTTCTGATTACGTTAAGGAGAAAGTCTCCACTGGAGCTAATGCATCTTTAACACCAGCCTCCCTTTTTCCCAGAGAGAACAGACTCGGAGCCTTAGGCAGGCAACGAATCTAGTGAGAATTTAATTATGTTGTTTTGTTTTCATTGACTTTCTTTCTACAGTTACCTCCCATTTATGGCAAGTGGCTCTGCTCTCCATATCCAGGGAGATATTACGCTTCCTTGAAAAATAATTATAGTACACTGTGAATGTGAGCGGTTTACTGTATAGCACTTAGACCTCAATAAAGCTGTAAGAATAAATGGATGTGTTCAAGTAAACAAAAGCAAGTTGGTTTAAAGAAAAATCATAAGGAAATACCGGTACAAGGGGTGGTTAACAGTGGAGAGGGGAGACTCACACGCCAAGCGTGGCCTCAGCCCTGTCCTCACGCCTGCCTCTGACAGGGCCGGGGCCGGAGCCCTTCACCTGAGGGGCCACAGCAGGTTGCACCGGCCATTTCTAGACTCTGAATCCTTCTCTGCACTACTCTCAGGAAGCAGAAAAGCCTGTCTGGAAAGCACAACGGGGAACTTTCTAGGAAGAAGGTTCTCGAAGTGTCTAGAAGCACTATTCCAGATGCTGTTGTCTTGGGGCAGGAGCAGCCTGCAGCCAGTTCCCACCCTTCCCGAGCCCCGGTTCTGTCTCAGAGTGACCCTGGCCAGCGGTGCCTGGATCCCACCTGGACTGTGGAGTCGGGTGGGGAGAGAGCCCGGGAATGGTTCCAAAGGGGCTCAGGTTCCCTCCCTCCACCCAGAGTGCTAGCAGATGTTTGGCATCTGGTTTCTGCCTGACCTCAGAAGGCGCATGGAGGACACGGAGAGTCCGTCCAGTCCCTGACCCCAGGCGGGACTGGCCTGAAGGCAGTGGCGGGGGAGCAAGCTGTGGGCCCACTGTGGAGGAGGCCACTGCCTGCCTCCCTCTCCCACGCCTGCCCCAGGAGGGAGAACTCAGCTGGCTGCTGCAGAGTTTGTGCCCATGGATGAGGGTAGAGCACAAAGTGCATTGCCCCAGAGCAGCAACCGGGCCTGAAACGTCCGACGAGACTGTGCGGTTAGAAAGAGAATCAGACGGGCAAGCGGGACACCTGGGCCCTCTCTGGCCCACCGCTTCCTGCCTTAGGACCTGTGCACCAGCTGCGCCTTCTGTTTGACCCTTCCCCTGGCTCTCTGGATGGCTAGCTCCTCTGCTCTCAGCTCTCAACTGAATGTCATCACCTCCAAGAAGCCCTCCCTGATCACTCCCGCCCCCCCAAAAAAAACCCTCCCAGGTCACTCACTAGCACATCCTCGGTCTTATTTCCTTCATTGCAAAGCTTAGCACCATCTCTAGTTTGTGTTACTTATTTCTGTGTTCTCATGGTTGGAGCTCATCCCCACTGCAACACCCTGCACTAACTAGTTCGTAGTAGGTACTCAGTATTTGAAGAGTAGGTGATCGATGTGTTGAACAAATGAGTTTCATCCAGTTGCTGCTTGTGGCTGGGGCATGACGTCCGACACGGAGCTGGCCTCCCAGGCCGGCTGTGGTGGGAGGGGGAGAGGCAAGCAAAGCCCTGCGCCTGGCAGGAAGCAGGCCTCTCGGGCAATTGGATGAATTGTGCCCATGTCACCGATACAGACACTGAGGCTCAGAGAGGATGAAGTCTCCCAGCTCAGGGCCCTGAGGCTAAGGTCACCCTGGGGTCTTACCCAGTGGAGATCCAGGGTCCGTCAAGGCGTGGGGGCAGCAGTGCAGTGACAGGCACTCTGTTGGGCAGGGGCTGCTGGCAGTGAGCTCCCCAGCGCAGGCGGCCACCCCCTGCTGTCCCAGCCACCTCTGCAGTGCGGGCTGCAAAGCAGACAGACCCGGGTTAGCGATCCCAGCACACCCCAGGGACTCTGCCTGCCCCGCCGGCCTCCCACCCCAACCTCCACCTCGGCCTCTCCCCCTCAGGCTGCCCCAGTCCCCGAGACAGTGACAGGGTACCAAATTGGGGTACCTAGACTCAGCCTCCAGACTCATCTCCTGGGTGTCCAGATGTAACCGCCATGGAATCCAAGTCTCCCATAGAGAGACTGTCCCAGATTCTGAAAGTGACGGTGCCAAGCCAGACTCCCAGCACCCAGACCCTCCTCAGACTTGCCTGCTGTGGCTGAGTGCTGCCGCCGGTGGTAGCTGAGGGGCCTGCATGCCTGGTAAGGGAAACTCTAGACTTAGAGTGAGGAGCCAGGGGCAGTGGGACTGCCATCCCCACCTCCGTGGGACCCAGGCCAGCGCCTAGCACATAGTGGGTGCTCCATAACTGTGTGGTGGACGCTGGGGCTGACGCGTGAGGCGCACAGTAGGGCCGGGGAGGAATCCCAGGCCTCAGGAAGGATGGTCACGAGCAGCAGGGGCCGGGCTCAGGGCCCAGGCCCTCCTGAGTGACCCCCAGATGTGCTCATCTCGTGGAGACAAGCCAGGCCTGGCCATAGGACTGTTCACAATCTCTTCTAGGAGCTGCTCAGAGGTGAGAGCACCAGGGCCTTGAGCTGCTAAAGAGCAGCAATTCCGCCAGAAACTGTCATCCCCATTCCGAGGCCAGGCCTTGACACAGCCCAGATGGCGGGATGTTGTGGGAAGCTTCCAAATATTACAGCACGGGGCTGTGCTCACGGGCGCCTGGCCTCGATGGCTGGCCCAGCTCCTGCAAGAGGGCTTTCCAACAGCACTTCATCCCACTGAGCCTGTGGCCGAAGTGGGTCAGGGGCGCCAGCCCGGCTGGGGTGTCAGCCAGCCCGGGGAGGCAGGCCCTGCCGGTCCAGGAGGCCCCGGAGGCTGGTGGGCTGAGTGGAGAACGTATGACATGTCCTGCACGTTCACATCTCCCCGTCAGGTTCCAGAAAGGCATCATGGCCAAGGAAGGACCGGGGAGGCCCGGGGTCCCCACACTGCCCTTTTGCAGGGCATGTGGCCCCACGGGGCTCTCAGGAAAAGGAGGCAGAGTGGACTCCTCACTTCCCTGGAGGCCTGGGGCTCCCTGCCGTATTCCTGGTTTACCCTATCCTGATTCATTGGTTTTAATCAGCCAAATAGGAGAAATGAAAGCAAAGAACCAGCGAGCCACGGCTCCCCGAGGGCTCCCAGGGCCACTCTGCAGAGGGAAGACACACCAAGGGGAGTCTTGAAAGAGAGAAACCTGTGGTGGTTCGATATTAGCTTGGGCACATCGAGGTTCGCGGGGACCGGAGCCAGGACGTGGTGGGTGGGCGGGCCTCGGAGTTGGGCCAAATGCCCCTGCATAGCCCTGCGGGAGTCCGAGCTGGACGCGCACATCGGCGTCCCCAGGTCGCACCTTTCTGTGTTCCTGCCATCAACTCCCGCCAGAGCACTGGGGCCCTGGATTCAACTCTGCAGCTTAATGTGATCATCACCAGCCTGTCCGAGAGCCTTGATTTGGAGGATGATGGAAGCAAAGGGACTCAAGGACCCGGAGGGTCAGCATTGCTCGCCTCGGAGGAAAATGAAGCTTGTGTCTCAGAGCGGAATCATGAACGGGCCCTGAAAATTACACTGGCGTTGTTTCCACAAAGCTGGGTTTCTTGAGGAAATGTTTTTTTGTTCAGAAGAAAACAAGCCTTTTCCCCCTTGTAATCTCTCTGACAGCACCAGGAAGAGATGACCGCGACATTATATTTTGTCATGAATCCTCAGACAGTACGTTTCCCCTGAGTGTGTTTTCAGTTTGTCTTGTTTTTCTGGGAGAGATTAGGATTTAATTAAGTCAGGAGACTACGAGATATGGTGAAATATCACTGTATTCAGAACATGCACACACAGAATCAAAAACGCAACTGGAGACCTTTGTGAAGACGCCGGGGCGAGCCTCTCAACCGTTCAGGAATCGTCAGCCTCAAGGTTGCAGAAATTAAATCAACCAACTATAAATGAATACATGAAATTTTTCCTCAGCCGCAGCTTTTTGCGGGGAGCCTTTTGATTTTATTGTCTTCTCTTTATTTGCTTTTTATTTTTCTCTCCCCTAGAAAAGTCTTAACTAAAAGAAGCAGCCGCTGAAAGCCGGCGGTGCTGGGGGCCGGGTTGCACAACTTTACACGGGGACCTGATAGACTGAGTTAAATGCAGGGGCCAAATTGATTTTTATCAACCATGGATTTTTAATTAACAGTGGTGTCCACTTACCGCCATCCATTATTTACTGTTTACCCACTAATTAAAAATTATGCTGCTTTTGCACTCATAAGAGCAGGGACATTGGAAATTAGATAGCATCGTTCAAATTACCTGCAGAATTAAATCCAGAGTGGCCAATTGCTGAGACCAGGCTACTGGGGTTTCAAATATGATACGCTCCCACCTGATGTGTTATTGTGTCGGGATGCCAGGGACGGGCTACACGTGTGGGACCTGTCTGGGGCCTGAAGGGGAAAGGGCACTTGCTAAGCCTCTACTGAGTGAAGGCACTTGGCTGAGACTGTCTCTGTTCAGCTGCTCTGTCGGCATGAAGGGAGGGAGTCCTCCCAGCAACCCACGGGAGGCGCCTGTCAGCGCAGCGATGTGTGCCGCCATTCCTATGGGCCGACGGGTGCAATCTGCACAACCACCCCTGACAGAGGTTCCCTCAATGCCCCCGTTTTGCAGATGAGGAAACTGAGGTTCAGCGGCGTGGAGGGCCTTGGCCGGTGCTGCGTATCCAATTTAAAAATAAATTTTGGTAAAACACCCACCTAACATAAAATTCACCCATTAAACCGTTTTTAAGTGTACAGGTAAAACTCAGTGGCACGTAGGACACTTACCCGGCGGTGCACCCACCACCACCGTCTCGTTCCAGAACATTCCCGTCACCCCGAAAAGAAACCCCATCGTCATCAGCAGTCGCTGCCTTCCCTCTCTGCTCTCAGACCCTGGCAACAGCTCATCTGCTTTCTGTCTCTACGGATTTGCCTCTTCTGGACGTTTCCTAGAAATGGAAGCATAAGCTGCGTGCCCTTTTCTGCTCTGCTCTTCACAGCACTTCCCCCGGGCGGAGGGGGTTAGTCTCATTTCTCAGATGAAAACTGGAGACTTAGAGAGGTTTCACACCCGGGGCCGCAGCCCACGTTTTCCTCAAAGGTCACGACAAGAAGAGTGGGTAGGTGCGACTCCGAAGCGGGGAGGACGCAGCAGGCGTGGGGTGCAGAGCGGAGAAATGGCAGGTTGTTGGGTACTTTTCTTTTGGGGGCGAAAAGCAAAAGAAAAGCACTTTTTTCCCCCTCTCCTAATTGGCTTGTTCTGAGGCTCTGGGAGACGTGCCAGGTGATTTTCGGTGCCGCGGTGAGTGTTTCTGATTCCAACGGCTACGCATTGATTTTAGAGGGTGTTAAAAAGCAGCCCCAGTTACAAAAGTAGCAAACTTGTGCTCTCGCAGCCCATGTGTCGAGGACAAGACTGAGTTTTCAGAGGGTTTTGGTCTGAACTTGGTTTTGAAACACGAAGGTACACTTTAAGTAAATAATATTTAGTAAGTAACCGTGTGAGGGGCTTGCGGGTATGGTCCACGGTCCGAGGGACACTCACAGTGAAGAAGGACAGGTGGGGGTGGGGGGACACCATCACCCACCTCAAGGCTGAACGGCTGCGGCTGTGACAGCACCACACACCCGGTGACTGAAAAGACCAGAAGTCTGAAATCACAGGGTGGGCTGGCCGGGCTCCCTCCAGAGGCTCCAGGACAGGGTCCTTCCTGCCTCTTGCATTTCTGGTGGCCCCAGACGTCCCTTGGCTTGTGGCTGCATCACCCCGATCTCTGCCTGTTCCTATTCTATTGGAGAGGCTGGCATTCATCATCAGGCCCACCACGGATTACAATTCCAAAGCATCTAAGTGTCTCCGAGGAAACACACCGTGGTCCCATGGTTCCCCCAAGGCTCTGGGAGTAGCATCCATGCTTTTCCTTACAGTCCACGGGGCCCTTCAAAATCGGTCGCCTTCCTGCCTTCCCAGCGCCATCCATCAGGTCCCGCCGTACTTCTTTCTCTGCTGTGTGTTCCCAGGGATGAGCAGGCCAGCTCCTTCCTGCCCCCGGGCTGGTGCACACGCCGCTCCCCGGCCCGAGCGCCCTTCCCTCTGCGTCCCCGTCTCAGCAGACACTGCATTTCCTGGCAGGCTGGTGTCGAACGTGGCCCTTCTGCTCGTGTCCGTCCCTTCTCTCCTGTGTAGCACGCATCACGCCTGGCAGTCACTCACCTGCTTCCTGTTTTTCACATACTTTCATTTTTTGACTTTTCAATGTGAAGTACTTTCAGAGTTACAAACATGTTGCAAAAGCGGTGGGATGAGTTCTCCTATAGCTTTCATCCGGTTTCCCCAAAGGCTAACATCTCGCATAGACATAATACGATGATTAAAAACAAGGAATTAACATGGACACGTGCTATTAAGAGATCCACACACTTTGAGCAAGTTTCACCAATTGCCTCCTTTCTGGTCGAGGGTCTGACCCAGGATCGCCCATCGCTCCTGGTTTTCACCTGTAATTTGCTTCGAGACACTTCTTTGGTCTTCGTCTTTCATGACCTTGACACTTTGAAGGGCACTGCCCAGTTATTTTGGAGTGTGCTCCTGAATTGGGTGTTGTCTGAAGGTTCCTCACCATTAAATTGAGTTTGTGAAGTCTGGGTAAGAATGCTGCAGACACAATGGTGTGCCCTCTCAGTGTGTCACCTTAAAAGGCACATGATGTCAATTTGTCCCAATCCTGGTGACGTGGACTTTGATCACTTGCTTACAGAGGGTCTGCTCTGCATCTCTGCTGTTAAATTAATACTTTTCTCTTCATAACTAATACTTATTTTATGGGGATATAA